TGCACCTTCCCCCCCCCCTCCCCCCATGTATCGCCCCCCCCCCCCCTTACGTGACGCCCCACTCGACTGCTCGCTCGGGGCTCAAGAGACCGGGGTCAATGCAAGCGGGGGTCAGCCAGAGCGCCAGAACTCGCAGGTCCCTGCAGGGCCCAGGGGCGCACTGGCCCGGGCTCGTGGGTGCAGGATCCTGCAGGACTCCTGCAGGATCTTGCAGGATCCTGCAGAGCCCCACCTGACCCGGGTTCTGGATTGGCCAAGGTTGGTAGGTCTCCGACTCGCTGCTCCCTCCCGTCAGTTTTGGGAGGGCAGGGTCGGTGCTGATGGGGATGGGATCGTCGGAAGGGAATGTGCACCTCGTCCCAGCCATCTGGCCCGAGCGGTGGCGAGGGCATCACCACAGGCCGAAGACTGCAGCCAGGGCATCCCTCCCTCGCACCTCCCCTTGTCGCTGATATCGACGGCGAGCGAGGGGGGGAAGTGAGAAGGATAAGGCCTTCTCAGAAGGTTCGGAAGTCCCCCAGCCTGCTGAAAAGGTGTCTACGTCTTCCCCGAAGATAGAAAAACAAGGCAACCTCTCAGAAGGCGCGAGGGCGTCCCGCCGCCTTCTGAAAAGGCCTTCTCCTTCTCACTTCCCCCCCCTCTCACCAGAGACAAATGTACCACCACCACCAGCGAATTGTTGTCGCTTCGCGAATCCCCACCAGCCCATCCAGAAACGATGCCCAGAGGAATTGCCTCGATCAGAGAAGTGGGCAGCACACAGAGGAAGCCATTATGAGACATCTTGGGATATCTTGAGCCATCTTGGAGGTCATTTTGGGCTCTCCCAGACGCTCTTGGAGTCATCTTAATCCGTGCCCCCCCCCAAGAGGCCTCCATGTGGCTAAAACCTGTGTAGAATCAATGATTAGGCATTCTCGCCGAGGCCTCTTGGAGCATCTTGGGTGCATCTGGGGGGGCTCTTGGGGCCTCTTGGGGGTCTCTTGGGGGCCTCCGGGGGGCCTCTTGGGGGCCTCTTGGGGCCATTTTGGGGCCATCTTGGGACCTCTTGGGGCTTCCTGGGCGCTTCTTGGGGCCATCTTGGAGGAGATCGATCAAACAAGAGGGGGGGTTTAATTAGCGTCCCCCCTCGGAAGCCCCTAAAATCGCCTCTTGGACCCCTCTTGGAACGCTCTTGGAGTGCTCTTGGGCGCTCTTGGGGCCGTCTTGGGGCTCTTTTGGGGCTCTCTTGGGGCCCTCTTGGGCCATCTTGGAGCCATCTCCAGGCCTCGGATGGCCATCGGAAGCGAAAAGGCGAGAAAGCAAAAATCATTGATTTTCCTTAGGTTTTGGGACGATTTTGGCCTCTTCGGGGCCTCCTTGGGGAGCTGTTTGGCCACTTGGAGTTATCTTGGGGCCGTCTTTGGGCTTCTTGGAACCATCTTAGGAGCCATCGTGAGCGATCTTGCGCTATCTTGAGCCATCTTGGAGCTCATCTTGGGTTCTCTGAGGCGCTCTTGGAGCCGTCTTGGGCCATCTGGGACGCTCTAACTACCCGCGGCCCCCCCCGTCCAGGTCCAGGGGAGGGGGTAGGGGGAGGGGTAAACCCCTCCCCAAGGGGGAAGAGGGAGGGGTGGAAGAGGATCTGCTCTAGACCACCTACGCCCAGAGGGCTGGTGGGATTAGGGGGGTGGCCGCCCCACCCTCTCGAGCTGGGGGCACCTCGTTCCGGGCACGCCTCCACACCCGGGAGCACACCCCCAAAGCAAACAGCCCTCCCCCCAATACGAAACACACACAACAACGAGAACAACAATACCACCACCGCTTACAACAGCAACAACAACCACAACAGCAACCACTACAGCAGCAACAACCACCACAACCACAGCCACAGCAACCTCCTCTCCCTTTCTTCACCGACCCGCCGCCTCCACAGCACAGCCGTTCCGGGAGCGGGGGGCCGACCCGCCCCCCCCCCTCGCGCGGAGAGACTGGCTCCGCACCCTCCCTCGGAGGAAGAGGCAGCGGCGCGGCCACACGCCGGTCGTCGAAATCGAAGAAGAAGCTCATAATAATAATGGCGATAGTGATCATGATGATAACAATAATAAGAAGAATATGAAGAACAGAAAAACGCCGTGCACATACACTGTTGGCGCTCTGCGCGGATTTCTTGGATCCGCGCTGGCCCCCCCCGGCGGCGCCTCCAGCGCCGCTCCTGGCGCGCCCCGCGCGCCAGGGGGTGGGTGGGGGCTCAGCGAAGGCGCCAACACGTCATGTTTATGTTGTTTTTTTCCCTTCTTCCACGAAAGTAGGTATGTTCGGATCTCCGGATCCCAATCTGCTGCAGGCGCCTGCCTGCCTCGAGAGCCCGGCCAGTGCCCGTCTGCCTTCCTCTTCAGGGGGCGGGCGGAAGCCCAGATTGCTGCTCACCGCCTCCCTACAGTGGAGGCCCATGCCCCATGCCGAGGAGCACCCTGCTTGCCTCCAGGGTGCCCCGGGGGTTTCTTGGGCTTCGATGGCTCTGCGATGAAAGGCGTGACGTGCCCACGCCAAAGTCCCAGGGACGCCCTGGGGTCTCAGGGTTGGGTTTCTTGCGGAGGGTTTCTTGTGGGCCAGCCCCCGTTGTGCTTCCTGCTTCGGCCCATCTCTTCCGACCGTCGGGTGCACTTCTGAGCTCCGCGCGGCTCTCTCGGCTCGGCGCCTGGGGCCCCGACCGGCGACTGCGGATTGCGCTCCCTCAGCGATTTGGAGCGGATCGGCCTGCCCGGCTCCCCCCGTTTGTGTTGTTCGGCTCACCACCCACCAAACCACCCCAACCCAACCCGAAGGCTCAAGTTTACCCTCGATTTCCAGTGGGGGGGGGTCGGGAAACATTGACAAAAACGCATGTGGAACCCTTACCCCCCCCCACCCGAAATTCGGGTCTTCGGGTAGGGTTGGGGTGGTCTGGTAGGTAGTCATCGGCAGCAAGTCATGGGGGCGTTCTATGCCCTCGCAATGCCGTCCTTAAAAGAGTGCACTCGTGCCGATGAGCGCCTGGCAATCGATGAGATAGAGCGCCGACGATCGTCGACTCGCGTCGAGTAGGGTCGATCGAGCGCCGACAAGCCTTGATTGGCGTCGATTCGTAGATCCCAGCGAGATGGTATATGGGAGGCTCGCATGCGTTGCCACCCACCTCTTGACGGAGGCTCTGGGGGCCCATGCAGCACCTATTCCCAAGCCGCTTCGAGGGCATACGCTCACAGTCTTGGAGTTCCTTCCCAGCCTTGAACATATCCCTATCCCTATGCTGGGCACCTCCTCATCACGATGCCAATCTTAGGGATTCCCTTACTTTTTGAGGGCGAGTCCCTAAGATTGTCATCGCCTTTTGGCGTGTCAATCTTAGGGATAGGGATACGTTCGAGGCTGGTAAGTTC